CCCCAAAACCCCAAAACCCCTTGATACTATATTTAAATATTAAAAGCAGAAAGAAAATCGTTAAATCATTATAAATCATTAATTGACGATCAATTGATCAGGAGCAATTTCTACCAATTACTTTATTTTATTAATCAAATCATTGTTTGTTTGTATCAATTTCGGTCTTTAACTCTTTTTCCCCTGACTTATATTACAATTTAGCAAAATATCTACCTCTCTTTAAGGTAAATTACTAAAGCCAACAAGAGCACCTATCATACCTCCTACTATGCATGCATTAGTATCAGTATCACCTCCTAGCATTATACAATCATAAATTGCCTCTCTGTAGTCATAACTTTCATTCTTCAAAAAGGTGAAACTCATAATAAAAGAATGCTTCAACCAGCCTCCAGCTTTTTTAGGTGTAACTAACTCAGGATTAATCTTTCCATCAGCAAAGCTATCTATTGTCTTAAACCAGTCCTACAAATCTTGTAAGCAATTTTACTAACAATAATCCTTGACATCATCATATATTTCTTGCCTTGTCATTGCTGAGGAAAGAATTCTTTTTATAGCCAAGCAATATAGCACACTCGCTTATTAAGTGAGTTAATTTCCATGACTGAGTGAAGTGTCAAGGGTGGCTGCTTAGGCCATTTCTTGATCAGTTAAATTGTAGCACCAGACTGCTAAAGGACTTATTCTCATTAATGCTCCATTGCTTTGAGAAGTTAATGATTTTTTCTATTTTCCACCCTCTATAACTCTCTAAGGATTTGGTTTGTCAATGCTGCATTTGAAAAATGATGCTCTAATTGTTGCACCAATGTCAAATGGTTTACTCTGAATCCACTTAGCATACATTATAACGATCTACTTCAAATCTAATGTTCCCATATTTTTATCTTTAATCTTCTGAGCTTTAAGTAGACCATTTAACAGAGATAGAGTAAGTTCACCGTCATCAGTTATCTAACCAGGGGCAACATTATGAGGACCTCCACCTGGTAAACTCATTGCATGATTTACTGTCTCTGGAGTAAAAAGCTTAGTTGAAAATTCCATATTAGTTCCGCTCGCATCACCTAATAATGCCCCAATTATACACCCCAGAGCTTTATCTTCGAGACTTATTCCTAAGCTAATTCTTTTTTAGTTAATTTATGCAGATGATTCCATTAATTTATATTTTCTAAGTTTTGCTAATATATTTCATCTAGGGGTTTTGGGGTTTTGGGGTTTTGGGG